TTTTTTTTTTTTTTATTTCCCAGATGTAAGTCATAAGAATGCAGCTATTAAATATTACAATAGAGCCCTATTTCTATTGCCATGGAAAAATATTCAAACTGTATTGAGAGAAAAGAAAACTGGTTACCAATGAGAATCTTCTCTTTGTTCCTTTTTTTCTAAACACTTATGTAAGCGTGGAAAATGTGTGGAAGACTACTCACTAAAATGTTATTTACTAGTGGTGCTTTCAGTATCGTATAATGTGAATTGCATTTTCATCTTGTTACTTGTTAAATCTATTCTGATTTTTAAATATTTTTTTAATTGTTGAGATCATATTTGACATTCTGCAATTTTCTTTTTTCACCTAATAATCTAGTGCGAACCATCTTTCTTATCAGTATGAATAGATCTTTCATGCTTTTTAACTACTGCATGGTATTTTGTTATGTATGTACTGTAATTATTCGATCATTTCCCTATTGTTGGACGTTAAGGTTGTTCACAGTTTTTTACTATGACAAAGACCGTGTTCACTGACTAGTCTTATACATAAGTCCTTGTAGATAAATCCTAGATGTGAAATTGCTTGTCAAGGATATATATAGAACATTTTTTTTTTTTTTGAGACAGACAACTCTCTTGCCTGGGCTAGTGTGCAATGGTGTCATCATAGCTCACTGCAACCTCAAACTCCTGGGCACAAGCGATCCTCCTGCCTCAGCCTCCCCAGCAGCTGGGACTACAGGCGCATGCCATCACGCCTGGCTAATTTCTCTTATTTTTTTATAGAGATGGGGTCTAGCTATGTTGCTGGTCTTGAACTCCTAGGCTCAAGTGATCCTCCTACCTCAGCCTTCCTAAGTGCTGGGATTACAGGTGTAAGCCTGTTAATTAACTTTTTATTTGAAAAAGATCTCACTTGGAGAACATTATGGAAATTTCAAAGTATTAAGAAAAAATTTTCCCCGAATTCTACTCTAGTACAACAACCACATCCACATCCTACAATGTTTTTCTCCCTTGCTTTTTTTCTTTCTTTGTTATGTTGTCACTTCTGTACAGTTGAAATTATAATGATTATTTCATTTAAAAAATATGTTTGGTGTTTTTAAAGAGAAACAGCCTGATTTTTAGAAAATACGAATAACAAAAAGAAGAAAATAAAAATTATCCATGATACTACCTGCTGTTATCAGGTATTTTCTTTCTGTCTTTTTTCTATGCACAAATAGCCAAGGCATATATAATTTTACAAAAACAAGATCTGTTGTTATTTTCTTCCCTATTCATTTCACTTATTTTACTCATTTATTCAAACATGAGCATATTTTAGTGAACACATGATTTTTCTTGCTTTTTTTTTTTTAACAGTTTATACCAAGCATCAAAAAAGTATCTCCCAATTTTTAAGAAGGTACATGTTCCTTATAGAAAATTTGTTTCTGTGTATTACTAGCTGTAAATCGTATTTCACAGAGTTGAGTTGAGTTTTGCTTAATCTCGCATCCTCTTGCTGGTCACTGGCAAGTTCCAACTCAAGGGTGGCCACGGATGGGCATCTTAGAACGAGGCCCAGGCTAGTTCCTGCCCTCAAGTCTAGGCCTCTCCACTCTCCAACGTAGTCCATGCTCCTGTCTTTGTCTACGTTATCTGTCCTCCAGTTTCAACCAGCCTTTCCCGTCCACATTGATCTGTGATGACCTTGGCTGCCCTAACTCACTGGACTACAGAATGGCAAAGTTGCTTCTAGACTTATCACCAATTTGCTTTTTGACAAGTTCATTGCCTTCTCCAGGCTTTAGCGTGTTTGTATGTAGAATGTGTACTGGCTCATTTTTACCCTTAACCCTCTTCCTTCTCCAGGGTAAATATGCACTGACCTCCTCCCCCACCTTCCATGGCCTTTACTGTACAGTAGTGAATACGGCCTTGGAGCCAGGCAGAGCTGGCTTTGATACCCATTCCCTGCTGTATCACCTAGGGCAAGTGACTTCATTTCTCTGAATCTCAGTTTCCTCATCTATAAAATTGGGTTGATGAATATAATATACTGTAAATAACAGTTATATATACAGTAGTGTATAGCAGTTTTGAGGATTCCATGAGTGCGTGTCCACATGGCACGTAGTTGGTACTCAATACAGCATGCTCATTCTCTTGTGTGTCCCCTGTGACTTGTGGCCTGTGATACATGATATCAGCTGTTTTTCTAAGAGGAACCAGGCTGCTTCTTGCTTCCTACATTCTAACTTTTCTTGCTACTCTCTCTTCTTCTTTCTATAGGGTGGGGGCAGGGAGAGGAGCTACCTCTGGGAGCAGAGGGTGAATAATGCTGTTGGGGCCTTTCCATCCAGATACGACGACTATGATTATGGGGAGGTGAACCAGCTCCTGGAGCGGAATCTCAAGGTCTATATCAAGACAGTGGCCTGCTACCCAGAGAAGACCACCCGAAGAATGTACAACCTTTTCTGGAAGCACTTCCGCCACTCAGAGAAGGTACAACCCATGCAGGAAGAGCAGGGTGGAAGCAGACAAGCCTAGCCTGGTGGAGATGACAAGGGATCAGGACCTATTGAGGGACCCCATCCTAAGTCTGTCCTGCAGGAGGGACACCTGGGCCTGTTGTCCTGGATTCAAGTCTTACTCCACTGTGTGATTTTTCAAATTCAATTTACTCACCTGTAAAATGAGAACATGGGTGCCTGCCTCTCATGGTATCCTTAGTGGTAGGTTGGTAGACCTGGGTTCAAATCATAACACTATCACTCAGTAGCAGTGTGACTTTGGGCAAGTCACTTTGCCTCTCTGAGCTTTTTATCTTTATAATGGGAATAAATTCTGCTGTATTTCGAGGTTGTTTGGAGGATGAAATGAGAAAATGTATGTGAACCTCTGATTCGAAATAGGTGCTCAGTTCGTGATAGCTCTTGTTTTTAGCTTTCAGGGATAAAGAGATTAGTCATGACAGGGATGACTGTGCTTGAAATTCTTTAGCAGTCCTTGCACCCAACTGCTCAGAGCTTTAGCAAAGCATGGGGCATCTCTGTAGGAAAGGGAAGGGTGAGGGGAGTGGTCAGGGATCGGGGCAGTCTGGGAGGGGTGTGACTGGCGAGAAGCGGTATCAGTTGCTAATGTGCCCTCCTCTGCGCCCCAGGTCCACGTGAACCTGCTGCTCCTGGAGGCCCGCATGCAGGCCGCCCTGCTCTACGCCCTCCGTGCCATCACCCGCTACATGACCTGACTCCCTCCCATGCAGGACCTGGGCCTGGAGCAGCTGACCCTGCGGGCATCCTCTTCCCTGCAAGGACTTCTCTATCTGGAGACAGACCCAGACCCCTTTGTGTCCCACGCCCTCCCAGCCCACTCTGGGGTGGGCTTGTATGTGAAATGCAGCCCCCAAGCCGCACCCTCCCCTTCTCACTGGGATGGACAGGATCATTGCACTGAGTGGGATCTCAGCACTGCCCCTGGGAGCTGGCAAAGGACTAGAAGATCCTGAAGGTCCACATCCTTCCTCCTTCCCCTGCTGCTAGAGGCAGAGGTCATAGGAAGGAAAATGGACCGAGCTCGGACTTATGTGCCACAAGTGCTGTGGCCTTCCTGGACTGGAAAGTCCCTGGCTGGCCCCCGAGGGAGAGGGGTGAACAGCTCCAGGGACTGACACTCCGGGCAGCTTTGCCTTCCCTCCCTTCTCATTCCCAGATTTCATTACCTCCCACTTGCCATTCACCCATCAATGTGAAAGTCAAGGTCACAGCTGGTCTGTGTGTCCAGTTCCCCAAAAGTCTGTTCTGCTGAGCAGCTTGTGCCCTGGTTGCCCAGATCCTAGTTCAGTTCTTTTGACTTCCTTCACCCTCATCCTTTTCTCTACGCCTGGTGATATGAGGCCTCAGGAGAAAGGCCAAGCACATCTAAAAAGCAGATTATCTCTAGAGAGTTTGAACCTCCGTTGGTCACTTTGCCTTCTGAAGACGAGGGAATGTTAGATTATAATTTCTCTTTATTTTGGTCCTTAAATGGTCGAGGTTCAAACCTCTGCAGGGCCTCAGCCCTGGAGCCACAGTCAGTGTATGAGAGGAAGAGAGGGAGAATCCTGTTCTCCCCAGACTGCACCCACCATGCAGAGGCCGGCACCCCACTCTTCTGTCTCCGGTGGCTCTGCCGCAGATGTCTGCCAAAAAGTTGAGCCTTTTTCTAGGTGGCTTAGGTGGCACCATGGCCCAGCAGGGCTCTTGTTTGGGGCCCTGCCTCTGGCCAGGTGACCATGGCTACATTGCCAAACCTCTTTGACCGCCACAGTTGCAGACTGTAGGGTGTGTCTGAGTTTCCACGATGTCTCATGCTGCCCCCTGGATTCTCAGGCCCACCTGCCGACAGCAAACTGATTTTCTTGCAGAATCTTAAAGGCCTCTGGGACCTCCCTGCTCCTCTGACTCCTGCAGTCAGTCTCTCCTGGGTGCCTTCCAAGGGCCCCCACCCCCATCCCAGTGTCCCTTCTGTTCCCTCTCCTGGATTTTAAGTGGATTGCTTGGAGGCAGAAGCAGCCAAGGACCGATCCAGGCACTTTCTGTAGCAAATAACTGTGAATTATGACTTCTCTTGCCTGTATTCCAGCAGTCTGTGCCTCCTCTCTGACCAGTCTGGAGGTGACTGAGGAAAGGCAAGGGCCGCGATGCTGCTGTCCCTCCTCTCTGGGCAGGCGGGAGAGGAGCCTGGCCAGCGTGCCACATCTCACACCCGTGCAGGCACGGAGAAGCGACTGGCACCCCCTTCAGGCCTGAAAGCCCTCCCTGCAAAGATGTGCTGGAGAGAAGGGGCCCCAGCATGGGGGTTTGGATTCTAGAGGGGACTTGAGGCCTCTGTCAATGTCCCCTGGGCAGGTGGGGAGGGGTATTCAGTGTTCAAGTGCAGAATTCTTTGGCTTTACTACCAGTTCCATATGATGAGAAATAAACGTTCGCCGAGGTTTTGTTTTGTACTCCTTGTTAATGGGCTGTTTTTCCATTTCCTGAAGGTCATGGTTCACCTCATAGCACAGGCAGGGAGCTGTGATTGCATCATGGACCTGATCCGATAGCCCCCGCCCTGCCGAGTACTTGTGCCCAGTGATTGCAGGTTGGGAATGTTGGCACTGAAAGTCCCCTGGGTGTCCAGCCCTGCCACCCCTCTGTGGCTGGCCTGGCATTGCGGAATAATAATGACCATCTTATTTTTCTGACTAAGCCTGGCCCTGGGCTGGGTACTCAGCGACCATTTCTCTGAATCTGCAGAAACCCTGCGAGAGAATCATGACTCAGAGTGAAGCGGCATTGCTGAGGCCACATCGCTAGTCAGTCGGGGAGCCAGGATTCCAACCAGGGTCTACCTGACTTTGAGGCCTTGGCATTTTACCTTGCTGTTTTTTCCACTGCTGGACTTCTGTGACAGAGGGAGGCTGTCTGAGAAACTGGGGAGCCTCCTTGTGTCCCCCTACCCCACCATGTTATGATTACCTGCTTCTCATCCTTCCCTCTCCAGCACCAAGGTGACATAACCAGGCATAAGGAGTTAGATGCAACCCCCAAGTTGAGCCAGTGCCATTTATAGCTGTGTGACCTTGGTCAAGCTTCTTAGCTTCTCTGGGCACCAGGAACTAGTAAGCTTATCAGGAAAACCACATCATGACTAAGAGCTACGACCTCTCCTGCAGGTTTCCCACTTCCTCTAAACACTGCCAGCATAAAATGAAAACTGGGTCTCCTACAGGAAGCCTCCCCTGATTAACCCTGTTACTTTTTCCCTTGAGGTACCACTTCATTTTTGCAGAATTCCTATACACTTGCCCGCCCTTCTGCAGTTATTTGAGAGGGCGCGAATCACACTTGGAGTACAAAACTTGGATTCGGGTCCTGATTTAGCCACTTACTATCTCTGGGGGTACTGATTAATTTCACTGTGCCTCAAGTTTCTGCAGCCATAAAAATGGGGATAAAACATTTCCGTTTCTTTCCCAGGTAGCATTCATTGCATGTGACTCTTGCCAGTGTTTTCAAATTGAATCTCCCAACCTTCAACTCTGTGAGAAAGGGGTGGTGTTTCCATTTTACAGATGTGGAAATGGAGCCTCAAATGAGAATCTAGGGAACACCAGCTCAGCAGTTAGACCCAGGTTCAGATTCCAGCTTTGACATTTAATATCTGCCTGACCGTCAGCAAGTTACCTCAATCCTCCCTCCTCAATTTCCTTATCTATGCAATGGAATTAATACCTAGGGTCACAGGAAGGTGATGAGGATTAAATAATGCGTGAAAACCACCTAGCACAGTTCAGGTACCTGGCACTGGTACTAGTGAGCCACTTGGTATTCAGAAATTTACCCAAGATCGTGCAACTGAGGAAGAATTAGAGGAGTTTGCAGAAGGTTGCTGATGACTCGTTTCTTTGTCTTTTGAAGCCGTGCTTAGTTTGAGGAATGCTGAGTGTGAGTAGAAAAAGGAGTCAGGTGAGTCTCCTCCGGCAGGTTTCATTCACTAGCGCCCTGGGGCAGGTGGATCGGAGAAGTGGTTCACAAACTTTTCATGCCTTAGAATCTCCTAGAGCAGTTGTGCCCATCCTTTTTGGTACCAGGGACCAGTTTCATGGAAGATAATTTTTTCATGGATGGAGGCGGGGAACGGGGAATAGTTTGGGGGTAATTCAAACATATGACATTTATCGTGCAGTCAAACCTCTCTGCTAACGATAATGCGTATTTGCAGCCGCTCCCCAGCTCTAGCATCACCGTCTCAGCTGCACCTCAGATCACCAGGCATTAGATTCTCACAAGGAGCCACAACCTAGATCCCGTGCATGCGCAGTTTACAGTGGGGTTTGTGCTCCTATGAGAATCTAAAGCCGCCCTGATCTGTCAGGAGGTGGAGCTTATGCGGTGATGCAAGTGATGAGGAGCGGCTGTGATACCGATGAAGCTTCGCTGGCTGGCTGCCGCTCACCTCCTGTTGTGTGGTCTGGTTCCTAACAGGACACGGACAAGTATCAGTCCTCGGTGTTGGTCCTTGGCCCGTTGTTGGAGGCAGAGCTCAGAAATCTGCATCTTTAACAACTTCCTTGGTATTCGTTTATTCAACAGATGTTGTGCACCCAGTATGCAACATGCCCCAGAGATTGAGCAGTGAATGACACAGACATGGTTCCTGCTCTCTTGGGATTTACGGTCAAGTGGATGAGACATTAGATCATTACACAACTAGTTATTTAAATTGCAATTGTGATCAGCACCTCAAAGGAGAAATATGAAGTGCCGTGAAGGCATTCACAACCCAGCAGTAGAGCCTTTTCTTTTAAAGAAATATGTTGGACTTTTGCAGAAGCTCTGACACATCCAAGGAGAGTGGTTTCCTACTGAAGCATCTTCTTGGAACCTGAGGGCTCTGTGGAAGAGTTAGAAAACTGCTCATCAACATTCCTCTGAAGTGGACACTAGGTGTGCTGCCCAGTCTGTGGCACTCACTCCTTCCCCCGCCCTGCCCCGCTCCACCTGGCGTGTTGATCACTGAAGAATTTCAGCTGAGTCCCTCTCTGGGCACTGCCCTGGGTTGAAGGGAGCAACTTAGCTCTTGGTCATGCGCGGTCCAGACAGTCTGCCTGCAATGACTGGTTGGTGGGAGAGGAGGGCACAAAGGCCTGGCCCTCATGCCTCCAGTAGAAACAACTCTGAAGGATCACCCCAGCTCCAGTGCCTCCCCCAGGATCAGCTGAGCCCTATGTCGCAGATGCCTTGCAGCCCAACTTCCGCCCCGTCCCGCTTCTCGCTGTCCTAGGTTATGATCCCCAATAAATCCTCCATATGCAAATGGTATCAACATAAGATACTCTCTTATTACAGATCGTGATGAAAATAAAGACCAGAGAGGGGAAATCACGTGCTTGAGGTCTCACAGGCCTGAGCCTTGAGATCCTCTCTTGCTCGGGTGGTTTCGAACTCCTGCGTCTCCCAGAGTGCTAGGATTACAGGCGTGAGCCACCGTGCCCGGCCCTGCCTTAACTTCCTCTTCCTGAGTTTGGAGGCATCTGCTGCAATGGCCAGAATAGGTTCCCACTCTCGTGGCTGGAGACCTTGGGCGAGTCACTTCTTCTCTCTGGGGAGAAGGACAAATACTGCCTCAGTGCCCATCCTCTCTGAAGTCTGCCTCTGTGTGATGCCCCTGCTCCTGAGAAAAACCACGTCTCAGCCGGTTCCAGCAGCAGAAATTCCTTCCTCCCATGCCCAAATCACCTCTAACCTCACAGTTGGTTCCTTTTGGCAGGGAGTGGGCAGGAGCCTCGAGCTGCTGTCTCGTTTCTGAGTGTCCAAACTCACATTTCAAGAAGGAACCCCTTTTTCTTTTTGCTCATGCCAACATTATCAAGTGCTTCCTGGGTCCCAGACACTGCTGATGCGGGAGTACAGCAGGACAGCCACGAGACAGACACAGCCCTGGTCCTCAGAGGCCTTAAGGTTCAGTGGAAAAGATGTACATCACACAAATTCTTGTGGCGAGCCCTGGGCCAGGAGAGAGCACTGGCAGCTGTGAGAGAGCACAGCCTACCCTGGACCAGAAGGATGAGAAAGGACTGGCCAGGCACAGTGGCTCACGTCTGTAATCCTAGCACTCTGGGAGGCTGAGGCGGGAGGATCGCTTGAGGTCAGGAGTTTGAGACCAGCCTGAGCAAGAGCGAGACCCCGTCTCTACTAAAAATAGAAAGAAATTAGCCGGACAACTAAAAATATATAGAAAAAAAAATTAGCTGGGCATGGCGACACATACCTATGGTCCCAGCTACTTGTGAGGCTGAGGCAGGAGGATTGCTTGAGCCCAGGGGTTTGAGGTTGCTGTGAGCTAGGCTGACGCCACAGCACTCTAGCCCAGGCAACAGAGTGAGACTCTGTCTCAGAAAAAACAAAAAGAAAGAAAGAAAGAAAGCACCAGCCAAGCATAGGAGGGGAGAAAGGAGTGTGGAGCAAAGCTTTCTGGCAGTGGAAAGAGCATGAGAGAAAATTTGGAGTAGGAAGGAGAAGGCATCCTTGTAGGGACAGGGGGAGCAGGGAGAACACGATGAAGGCTGAGGCTGGAGGAAAAAAGCCCAGGGCAGATCTGGAAGGACCTTGCAGGCCACGTCGGGAATTTTGGACTTTATCCTATGGGCAATGGAAAGTCTTCAAAGGATACTTTGTTGTTTATTACAAAATCGAAAATATTTATTAGGAGAGAGAGTGGAGAAGGTTGTGAGACTAATCTAGGACCCCCTGTGTGCCAGGTAAGCCACTAAGTACTTCACAGGCATGGCCTTAGTGAACCGTCACCGCAGCCCTACAGAATAGAGCCTATTATTATCCCCATTTGACAGATGGTTCCCCGTCACCCCCAAGAGAATACATCTTCCTTCTTTGACCCTTACAAAATACTTCCGGTTTTTCAAGGCTTTTTTTCCTGTCTAAGATTATAATCATTTGTGTGGCTCCCTCATCTACCCATTCGACTGGGGGCTCCATGAAGGCAGGGATTTTTGTCTGGTGTGTTCACTGCTTTATTTCTCTCCAGAGCCTAGAACCTGCCATGCAGTAGGGGCTGAGTAAATAGGTGTGGAATACACGCTTGTACCCACCAGGATGTCTGGTCTCATGCTGGGCCCGGGTGGCAGTGCTGGAGAAACAACAGCCTCCGACACCGTGGACTTGGCCTCTGCTCTCGTTGTCTCTCCCTGCCTGGGTGTCTGTTTCGTGGCCAACTCTCAGACATTCAGCGTCAGTCTAGCGTAGGGGAAAGAGCTTGGACTTTGGAACCAGACAGATGAGGCTCAAATCTGAGTGCAAGTCCATCTGGAATGAGGCAGAATATAAATAAACAGAACCAAGTACCTACGTGACTTTTGGTAACTTTCTTTAATTTCCTCATCTATAAAATGGGAATGTTACTGCCTGCATCCAAAAAATGGTTGCTGTCAGGATCAAATG